ATATTTCTCTTTAATAGTTTGTTGATGGGCACACAATATGATAAGGTACTCTTGTTGTGGATATACAGTACATAGTCCAAATACTTGAGTCATTCATCAGTTCTTTATATTTTGCTTCTAAGGAGTCAGACTTTCTTGTAATCTTTTTAATTATCTTGAGCAAAACGAGGCTGATAAACATAAAGTCTCAAAATCATCATGTACATTTTTTTCTGCAATACACCAGTCCATTGGTGTGACTACCTAATCATAATTATAGAAGTTTAGTAATGTGACAAATTCTTAGATGGGAAATACAATTTTAAAAGCAAATGCTACTCTATACAAGCGTTGCTCTTTTTTCTTCCGAAAAAGTAAATTAGCATAGTTAACCATGGGTAATTTTTCATGAAATGTGCACACGTCAAAACTTATTTTTTGTTTCGTATTGTGTAAAGAATAGCTCCTGTCTCTGGTCTGGAGAGTGATTTTTTTTTTTTTAAATCCTCTTTTTTTCTGTTCTATTACTTTAGCCTCTGTTTTGCAATGCCAGAGATAATGCTTTAAATACAACATGGAGATTAAAACCCAAAGTGTCAAAGATGCATAGAAACCTTTTTTTTAAATAACATCTTATTGGAATGTAGCCCACTACATCACTTCAAACAGAAAGAACAAAATGCTGCCTTGTAAAGAAAATTCTCTGTTTTTTTGTCAGTAAAGAGGTTGTGTGTCATGTTTGCCAAAGACCTTACATGTTTTTCTGTTTTTCCTTTGTGAGGATACATTGTTCTATTTCTTCACAACTGCTTTTTTTTTTTTTTTTAATTGTTAGAAGCTTTTGGTCTCAGTGATGTGTCCTACGAGTACAAGACACAAACAAAAGTAGGTTGAGAAAGAAGGAAGAGTATTTTACATCCATCGCACTACAGAAGCAAGCCAATTTTCAACACTTCACTTTTATGGTACCACCTCATTTATGAATATCATCATCAGTGATTAATCATAGTGGAGCCAATAAAAGTGGTGCTTTACTTGTAGATTAGTTATTTGGATGCTTCGGATCAGTTCTTCCCTTTATACTTTTACTCACTCAGTTTATAAAACATAACTGCAGGTGACAGCATGTCCCTTAACAGGCTGCAGAATCATTGTCAGTGTAAAGATAATTCATTTTCATAAAATTATTCATCATGCGGACATTGCTTGGATTATTATTTCAAGATTCATTTTACCACAGCTTTGAGAAGACAACTGATGTTCAAAATCAATGCCATTGTGTATGATGATCTGAATGTATAAAATCATGAACCATGCTATAAACAGAGTGAAAATGATAACTAATAATATGACGGCTCAAGTTATGCAAATAAATGGAAAAACAATCATAAAGATTAGAAAGGCTTCCTTTGATCAATGACCTTCAGAGATAATTACAAACAGAAAATTAGTCTGAATTGAAAATAGACATGCAGATGTCAAATCAGGGTTTATTACGCAGATAAAGACAAACTAAAGAAGTTTGCATTTCATTTAATTTTGGGAGTAAAACTATGAAAATAGAATCAAAATCTTGACTTGGGTTACCTGGTTATTAAAAATATAAAAATGGCATGTAAGATCTCGTATAGGCAAAGCTTGAAGAAATATATTTTTCAACATCAATCTTACATTATATCACTAGTAAACTATGCATTTGAGCCAAAGATGGGGTGACTTAAGAAGTTCTGTATTTATTTGACAAGTCTGGCAACTACATTTTCAACCTGTTTTCCTCAACCTCACATAGAGTTCCAATAAGTGAGACAAGATTGTTTCAAGGTACTTGTGGGAGAAAAAATGCTATAATCTGGTTTTTATTTTTGGCAAGTAAAAATTGTCTTGAGAAAGTTTTATTGTTGAGCAAAATGGATCATGAAATTTTTACTCTACATTGATAGTGTAACAGTGATATATGGTTTTCAGAGATGTAACTAAAGGGCAGCATGTTTATAAAAATAAACAACAATAATAGGGGGTCCTAACACAGGACTGTGAGAAATCCATATTTTATGTGCTTAGCATATCTACTTTTAACATAAGAAGATAAAGTCACTAAGCCATAGTCACAAAAAAATACCTATATTCAACATATAAACATAGTGTTGTCAAGTCACCTGAAAAAGTTAACCGTTATAAATAAAAAATGACAACTTCAATAATTATATTTGCATTATTGGCTCTTGTAGTGTAATATTGTTATGTTTTTTGTAAAGTGGTAAATATGTCTATGATTATAAGTACATTCTCAGAACATACATTTTGTTTGTTCTCTATCGTTCAGATCGGAGGCAATGTGTTCAACATAATGGTATTTCCTCCAGTTATTTAACAAACAATGGTGTACCACAAGGAACAGTCTTAGGACCCACCCTCTTTACAATCTACATAAGTAATGTAAGGCCTTCCATCTTTTGCAATCTGCTTTCGACATCATCCAGTCAGATTGGTTCCATCTCAAATTTGTCCTAAACACTGAAAAAACCAAAGGGATGCTTTTTTTTCAAACAGGAAGTTGGTCCCAGCAGTTCTTCCTCTGATTTTATCCTCAAATGGTGTCCCTATTGAGTTTGTAGATTCCTACAAATATTTGGGTATCTTGGTCAATTCGCATCTCTCTTTTAAACTTCACGTGGAAAAACTAACAAGGAAACAAAGTTAAATTGAGTTTATTTTTCAGAAATAGATCCTGTTTAACTCTGATTGCTAGGAAACACCTTGTAACTGTGACTTTCCTTCCCTCCATTGATTACGGTTTTACATGAACGCTCCTACAAGCACCATGCAGTTGTTGGATGCTACCATGGAGCACTAAGATTCATAACTGGCTGTAACTATCGTACCCATCACTGCACTCTGTATTCACAGATTAACTGGACATCATTAACTTCATGCAGAATCTCCCACTGGTACATTTTCATCTTTAAATCACTTCTTGGTCTGTTGCCTTCATACATCTCCTCCTACATGTCTCTGTGTGAGTGCAGCTACAGCGTGCCCTCTCAGGACATTATTACCTGCAGTGTTCCCTCTGTGAAGACTGAACTAGGCAAAAGGGCCTTCTACTCTGCTCCTGTTTCCTGGAATATCTTAAAAAAAGATCTGAAGCTCTCGACCTTGACCTGTCTAAGTGGCTTTAAACATCTAATAAGTTCCTGGCAAAAACCAATGCAGACATGTTCCTGTTTTTAGTTTTCTACATTGACTTACAATCTAGCTGTTTTTTTTTTTTTGCCACTTTTCCTTTTAATTATTCTTTTAATTACCATTTTATTTTCACTTGTTAAAAAAATTGAATTTGTACACATCCTTTATGATTATCTGTTGTTGTCGTTGTTGTCCATTGTTGTCATTACTCTTTGTTAAAATTCAGGTCTCTCTTGTAAATGAGTCCCTGAGGCTCAATGGGATTAATCGGTATGAATAAACGTTGAATGAATTAGATCCATGTGGTCTTTTCGTATGATTTTACTTTTTTTTTCCATGTTGTCACTTTTTTGTTTTAATTAATTTAAGGGACTGCACTGGAAAATGTGGCCTTTTCCATGTAATGCGTTTGAGCTGCTTTATCAAAGCAAAATCTTATTTCAACGAAGAGCAATAAATCATTTTATTGTCCCTAGAATTCAGAATATTCCCTCAAATATAGGTGGCAATGTACATGAGATTATCAGAGCTTCATTTCTAGTGTGACTGACCTCAGAAGTCAGTGCATATATTTTGTGTACAAAAATTAATTTGAGCCATTTTTGCACATATGTAGTGAATAAAGTGTCCTTAATGTTCCAAAGTGAATAATTGAAACATATTTTTCTTACTAATTCATGTGGTACAAAGCCATTAATCTGCTCAGTCCAAAAGCAATAATGAGCCTTAAAATTATTTTTCAAAGTAATAACGGTGATCTTCCCTCTTTTGAAGGCAGAATGAGCCATTTAGATACCCTGCAGTGAAACAATGAATACACACATGCACACGCATTCCCAAACACACACATACATCCACTGTAGTAAGTTAAAGTCTAAAAAATTTCCTGATCTTGTCAGCTCATAGACACAAGTCATCACATATAGGCCAATTGAGGTAATACACACACACACACACACAAACACACACACATGTACTCCCCCCTACTCTCCACCCCCCACACACACCACATGCACACACACATTTACAACAAAACACATAAAGGTTTGAATTTTTTATCAAATATCATTAAAATTTATAACAAACCAAGACCAAAATACAGTGTTGTGAAAAAGTGTCTTGCTGTGAGTCTGCTGGACTTCATCACTTGGAGGTAGTTGTGTGATGTGTAGGGATCGAAATATTGCAGCATTCATGTCTGCTTCCGTTTGTCCATTGTCTTTTGAAATACAGACCTTTAGAGTGTTGACTAAAATCTTTGTTAACAACTGGCACCTTGGCTCAACTAAAATGGGATTCTCACCTCAAGTCCCTTTTGTGGGAATAAGCTGCAATCTCACACTTTATGTACACCCACAGTTTAACCACGCACAAAGACAAGAAGCCCATTTAAGCCTGCATGAAAATGTGCAACATATAAAAAAATAACAAAACTGCTACACATGGTGCAACAAATGGGCAAAATTGGTTGTTTTGGTTGCACATATCGACAGCAAAATGAATATTGAACCGTAAAATTGCTGTGCAATGCACAGCACATGATAAGCTTAATCTTGATGTAATACTTTCTTGGCTGAAAACATGCTGATAGAATGTGCTCATGAAATCTGGGACAAATTAGTCCTTAGAGTTTCCGCTTATTTTTACATGTTTATCCTTGACTCAGCTTAAAATTGGTTCAGTTTAAGAGTCCATCTGTGATCCTCGCAATACCAATGAAAACTTTAAAACGATGATGTGTTTATGATCATGTAAAAATGCACATTTCAGAACACTGTAGTCATATGTAAAAACAATTGTTTTGTCTTTTTCTTTGTTTTTATTTTTAATTTAAGGTGAAATATGGCCGGTTTGGCTTTGTGTGGGATGCGGCAGTGCTGGAGTATGTTGCCAATAATGACGAGGATTGTTCCTTCTACACTGTAAGCAACAACGCACCTGACCGTGGATATGGCATTGCAATGCAGCACGGCAGCCCCTACAGGGACATTTTCTCCCAGAGGTAAGACTCATAATGCTAAAGAACAGTCAACAGCACCTTTTTATGCATTTTATTTATCATACAAAAACATTTGCTTGACGTGCACTGATGAATCTGTTCAGTTTTATCACACCTTGCTGTTTTGATTTTAAGTTTAGAAGCAACTTAAGTTAAAGTATAAATACTACATTTTATACCCATGTCAATCTGGAGGCTTTTATCACTATTATTATTGTTAAACTGGGGAAGATTATCAGTTATCCAGGACATGGTAAATTCAAAAATGTAACAAACCCCTACTGTGAGGTGTGACTTGTCAATCTGCATATGTATGTGCATCCTATCTCTGCTTTATAACCTGAACCCCACAAGCTCTGCTCTTTGAATTGAGAAAGCTTCTCGGATGAGAAGCGAAACGTCTTCTGTTTCAAATAAAGTCCAGTTGTTTTTGGCTTGAACGTTTTTGAATATTATTATTGTTGTTCCTGATTCATTTAAGTTAAGTACAATGGCCACCCATATGAACTTTGTCCTTCTGCAAAGCTTGAATCATTTGCTTTGTAGGTTAAATGCCAAGTACAAAGCTGATTGAATTGTGCATTTATTATGGAAAAAAAGGAGATTCCCAAACAGACCAAGGTGTATTTAATCAGATTTATTTACAAAGCTTTGGAGAACAGTCCGGCATTCACAGAACATGCAAATACAAGATTACACTGTTGTCAGTGCTCTCATCCATGTGAAACACCGACCTGTTCGAACTTCCTGAACCGGACAAGTTAGTTTAATAGAATAACCTCCAGCCCAGCCCTCAGCCCCTCCCCTCCATGTCCGAGCCGTCACCGAAAGATCCACTGCAGACAGGAAGGAGTGGATCTGAGTCAAGGACTCTGCTTGAAGACATGACACCATATCACATCAACTCTATCATTTCAGTATATCAATCAGTCCTCGATGATATCAAAAACAACCATTTCTTTCTGTTCCTCACTGACTGGTCACAGTAGGAGTAACGATCATGATGAGTGCAAATAATACACATTACACTGACATATTTATCTTCCAGAAAAAAGTGAAACAGGATTATAGCAACTCACGTTCGCCAATACTTCACAGTGAGGCTGAGAAAATCTGACAAGTCTGCCTCACAAATAAGTCAACAAGTCACCAACTGTTACCTCAAAGGGGATTGTTGGTTGTTTTGTTTGGAATATAGTAGGGTCGACCTCAGTAGTTCAAATGTGCTAATATAACGTTCTGTGTCATTTGGGATAATCAACAAAACCTGAAATGGAAGTATGTCGGCTGTTCCAAATGTTTATCTTGTTTCGTTAGGAGAGTCTGGGTTATCTCATTGATCAGAGAATAACTAAATGTATTCATTTATTCATTATCTATTTTGTCTCCTATGTAAACAAGAAAGTATGGTAATTTCTGCAGCTTCCACACAAAGGTCACTAACTCATCTCCTTGCAATAACTGCGTTGTGCTCCTTCAGTCTGGAGAGAGTTTCCTTGTTTGACTGTTTATATTAATCTTTAATATCACGCTGCGACATGAACCATATCACCAGACTGAAAGTTCAGCAGGTGAAGTGTTTCTTGAAGAGTGAAAAAAGGCTCATTTGCATACCAGCAGCATATTGTGCTAGCTTTATTTGCAATCAAGCATAAGATCATTACGTAAAGGAAAGGTGGAAAATGTCTAATTCCCTCATTAAATTGAGGGAAAGCATATTATGTAAAATAGTCATTGTTGTTTTACTGGCATTTGTGGATGTGTGTGTGTAAAAGACTTGAACATGACTCAAAGCATGAGCCAAATTATATGAATCTGTGCTGAGGCCTGAATCTTAATATCTCCCTATCTGCTGAAGCATTGCACTTCAGAATATTGCCTATCACAGATTATATTAAAATAAACAAGCAATTAATTGACAGGCCATGTTTCCAATTCCAGCCTATTATTTCTGGAGTAATGTTGCACTCTTGGGACGACACTTTTAAACTGTTTCCTCACATTGGTCCCTGTGGTTCAAACAAAAGCTCAGCGAGAAATTATCAGTAGAAAAAAATGGTCACAGATGTATAATTGTTTTGTTTTTCCTTGCCACATTTTTTAGATCTGTCATTCTGACATTCTCTATTACTTTGATTAATGAAGCAAACATGGAGGTTTAGCAGAAATTGGATTAGCAGTCTGTGCCTTGACTCCATGGAGAGAAATGTTTTCACGTGTTTTCTTATCTTTTGTGACCTCCTCCTCATAACACATTTAGAAACATGTTAATGTCTCTTTCTTGTGTTAATAAGAAAATTAGACAATGGTGTTTTTCCCCACAATTACAACTTAGTGATCGTAAATGTCAGAGAACATTGATGCATTCTAGCAAAAATCTTTCTACTGGTTTCTTCAAATGTTTTTAAAAAAGACATACAAGATATGGCTAAATTTTTTGATACTTTTGCACAAAAGTTGTGTTAAAAAAAACAACATTCACATTATCTGTTGATTCAACCTGGGGTTGCATTTCTGCTTGCGTCCACATTGTGGCAGGTTGTCTAAATTCCTATTAACCTTATAGTTTTTAATAATATTGGCAATTGAAGTCACAGGAATATGAAGCTATTTGGAGATGGTACTGTAATCTTTACCTTTAACATAAATGTGTGTTATCGACTTTCTGAGGTTCTCAGACAGCACTTGCTTTCTTGTTCTCTGCTCCATGTACAGTGCATCAACTATAACAAATAGTTTGTGTCATGTTTATTTCCTTTAAATAGGATGAATGACTGATGAGCAGCTTGAAAGAACCTGTGATACTAATTAAGGTCAAACACAGGCAGGCAGACTGCTGTGATGAAGCTAAAGTGCTGAGGGGAATATGTAGAACTACAATACAAAATAAAGTTAAGACATCTACAGTAATGACACTGACATGAATTTTATTAGTGGACCTTATATCATGCAATATCAATCTCATCTACTAAAAGCAAATTTCAGAAAAAGCTACAGAGTGCAGGGTTAATGCAGCTGTGGGATAATAACATAAGCAGATAATAACTTTTAGGTTATGTTACATTTGAACAAGAACCCTGGAATGAAACCTCTTTGACTGAATAAAATATTTAAAAAGAAAATCATAGACTCAGCCGTAAAGGTGCAGATGACACAATTTCAATAATTCTATCAAAACTGTGCAAACACAAAAGTTGGTTTGAGATTAAATGTGCATTTGACATTTCAAGCCATTGGCAATCGTTGCATATTTTTGCATTGGGAATGCAGTAGTCCCTCGCTACTTCGCGGTTTCGCAAACTCGCTCTTTTGCAGTTTTTCAAAATAGGATTAGCCATGACACACATCGTTGCAGCTCACATGTGCAGGGAGAAGCTCCCTCCTGCCGCATGTCATGATCTGAGCTCTGCAGCGGAGAAGTGGGCATGGCAGAGAGCAGCTGGTGACAGAGAGAGCGAGATCATGACATTCAGTGCTCTTTTAGAGCGTTTAAAGTTTAGAAACATTGTTTAGAATTTTGCAAGAGTGTGGGAATGGTTTCAAATGTCTTTATATATATATATATATATATATATATATATATATATATATATATATATATATATATATATACTACTTGTACTGCTATTCCTACTTCGCGGTTTTTCACTTATCATGGGAGGACTGAGAACGGAAACCCCCGTGATAAACAAGGAACTACTGTATATATTGGTAGTAAGTCAGTCGGTAAAGAATAATATAATTTTCCGCACTGCAGTTATGTACAAATTTAAAAAGCATTAGTTTGACCTTTTAAAATGAATACAAAAAATTCAACCATTCTTTTCCTTGGATATATTTACAGACTTTGTGAACTGCTGAAATGTATTTCTACCATATCAAATAAAAAGCTGAAAAGGTCTTTGAGTCACTTAAAACATTTGTGTCTTTTGATTGATGTTTTTGATCCCTTTTTTTAAATAAAATTGTGTTTTACTTTAATACGTCTATACTGCTTTGTGTGTTATCAGTCAGGTATGCTACAAGACAAGCTAGTGTTGTATGTGTTTTGTTTAAATACAAAGAACACTATCCGTCAGCCTTAGAAAGACAAGATTTGCTGGGTGGAGCTATACAGGTAATGTTAGAAGTTATTAGAAGATAAGTGCAGAAGCTATTTGAAATGTTTTGTTTTTGTGCAGAAAAAAAAACCTGAGGGTTGTACTATGAAGGGAGAATAACAATATGATCATCTACAAACGTTAAGATGAAAGTGAGAACAACAGAAATTTTCAACAATCAGCCAATGCATTATGACCAGAGATATAGAATGAGTAACGTGATTCATATTCTAATAGGAAAACTTGAATTATGGCTTCCATATATAGTTGTTACTTTAACATTTGACACCTATATCTAAGCAGTTTAATTAGATGAGAGTTCATCCCACATATGGCAGTGGCATTAGCTGACATTAACAGCTTCCCCAGAATGACAGAGTCTTAGAAAATCTTCTTAGAATTGGTTTAAATAACATACAGTTTGAAAAATGAATTGTTTATCCATCCTCCAGATTGAAATGTGTTGATATATGATAGTGTTTATGGGAAGCAAACACATTTCACATAGACCCCATCCTTCATTTCACAAGTCTCGAAGAACCTTTTTATTAACATCCTGCTACCCCAGAACACCCCCCAGATCTCTCTGTCTATAAACTGACTGGTCAGACCCATGGTAGGGGTTGTAAAGCTGAGGCTGAATGGTGTAAATATTCAATGATCGGTTGAAGCACCAGGGGAGAAACTCACAACTTCTGAGGAGTATTTTCTTGACTTGTGTGTATGTCAGTGTGTGTGTGCTCTGCATACTAGAGGAGTGTTTACTATCTTCATGTCCCTGGAGATGAAATGAAGGATGAAAAGGAGTGTATTTGCTTTGACACTTCAAAGAGAAAGAGAGCTGGTCTGTAGAAAAAGACAAACTGCTATAACTTCATCATTTTTGAGCAGTTTGTTTGTTGT